TACTTGAAGGGTTCAGCCAGTGGCCCTTCTTCGGAAAAAGCCTTTCGCTGGTGGGCGCGAGGACCCTATTAGGCTTGATCAGTTCCCTTATTGGATAAGTATTTACTGAAGTGCTCCTCCTGGGGAGGGCGCTGCCTTAAGGGGCTGGGGAGGGCAGCACGGGAACAAGGGCAGACACGCTCCCTGGAGAAGGCGGGCACTTAAGCAACGAACCAACACTGGCAAACTGTGATAAAGGGCCGAGGAGGAAGCAGACAGGTTAGGAACCTAAGGAGAGAATCCAGAAAAAAGCAGGGGCTCGTCTAGATGCGGGCAGGGAAGGCCTCGGGCGGCGGTGACCCTTGAGCCGAGACCTGCCGGCTGGGGAGGCCGGGGAAAGCACCGCAGGCGGAGGGAACGGGTGAAGAGCTTTGGGAGCAATGAGCGTGCGGGGTGCCGTGAGCCGTGCCGTGTCCGTTACTGTCATGGAGCCAGAGTGCCTGGAGCAAGAGCGAGCGAGAGGGTTGGTAAACGGGGGTGACGGCGGCGGGACCATGCGGGGCCCTGAACGCAGGAAGGAGCCCGGATTGCCTCCGAGGTGCGGGGGACCCGGGCGCTCCAGCGAGGGGCCCGCGCCCGGCGGCCGCGGAGGGGGTGTCGCAGGGCCGCGCCAGGTGAATGGGGTCCGCACCCCGCCCCGCCCCGCTCACCGAGCTGCACCAGCGCGTAGAGGAGGCCGGCGATCGACACTAGGAAGTAGACGAGAAACACGTTCTTCAGCTTCAGCTTCATGGCCGAGCCGCCGCCGGCGACCGGGCAGGCGGGGTCCCGCCGGGACAAGGGGTCCCGCAGGGACGAGGGGTCCCGCCCCCGCCGGACAGCCTGCAGGCCCCGCCCCTGCAGCGGCCCCGCCCCGCGGCCCGCCTTCCTCGCGCTCCCCTCGACCAGCTCCCGGGAACTGGGGCTGGGAAGCCGGCCTGGGCCCACATCCGGTCAGTCTGGAACACCCCCAGCCCCCCGGGTTCACTTCCGGTCCCACCGCCTCGTTCTGGAAACCTCGGGTGGTGACGTCATATCCGGCGTGTCAAGCGCTCTGGGCGGCTGTCAAGGAGCCGGTGGGAGCACGTGGGCGGGGCTGGGAGGCCTTCCCCTTGAAGTCCCGCCCTTGTGCCCAGGTTTTCTCCTTCTATTCATCCCCCCACCCGTCAGTCACAGCCCAGTCACAGTAGCTCAGTAAATACTTGTTACAGGAGTGACGGAAATCCAGGGCCTGTCATGTGTTCTAGGTCCATCTCATACAGTCCTCGCCATAATCCTAGGGCCTAGGCGATAGATGGTATTGCCTAATTTATAGATACGCAACTATAAGATCGACAAAAGTTATGTGTCAACGTAAGAAACATTCAGGCCTGCAGAGAAGTTTTGTGAGTTGATTTGAGCCAAACTGTCAGACAATTGCTGGAAGCAAAATTTCTATGGATTGAGAACATGCTCCAGAGAATGGCAGTTTTGCATCTTATTTTATGCATGACAGTCAGAAGAGAAGACATTGGTGATAGGTTAGGGAGGCAGGAGAAAGCAAAATGAGGAAACCTTTGGGATCGAATAAAATGTAAAATGATAGACACGCACTTCTTTTGGGTAAGGGGTACAGGATAGTTAATAGTCAACAATTACCTCAGTAACAACGAGGGGATTTGTGGTTTCCACTCTGGTTCCGTGCTTTGAGGGTTGGAGGGGAAAGAAAATTACTTTGACCTTCCAACGGTGTGTTATCTAGATGCAAGAGACAACAGACAAGGCCTAATGAAGGTGAAAATGGGAACTTTGTCAGGGACATGGCTACCCACCATAATAAACTGCCTTTAGTTAAAAAGTTTTTTTAAGGATTTTTATTTATTTATTTATTAATATATTTTATTGATTTTTTACAGAGAGGAAGGGAAAGGGATAGAGAGTTAGAAACATCGATGGGAAACACTGATTAGCTGCCTCCTGCACATCCCCCACTGGGGATGTGCCTGCAACCAAGGTACATGCCCTTGACCAGAATCGAACCTGGGACCTTTCAGTCCTCAGGCCGACGCTCTATCCACTGAGCCAAACTGGTTAGGGCAAGTTAAAAAGTTTTAATTTCAGACCATCCTTTGTGATTACGTCAGGTCTCTGAGTTTGTGAGGCCACCACACAGGCCTTCCCTGAGCGCGTCAGGTTTAATGTGTGGCCTCTATCCATCCATATATGTAATTGCCATTGTGCAATTTTCTACATCCTTTCTAGATACATGATTCCAGGTATCCTCTGACCCACATTTCTCAGGTGATGATGGGGGCTTAATGGGGGGGGGGGAGGCAAGGCAATGGGCTATCTCCCAGGGAACTGACTGAAATATTTCCTGAGTGGAGGAATTTCATAAACACATCCTCTAACTCCTGAAATGAAGCAGAGTTTTGCCACCCAAAATATGCCTTTTGGGGATATGATTTTAAGCTGATTATTTTTAAGAAATGACTCAAACCCAGCCGGCATGGCTCAGTGGTTGAGCCTCGACCTGTGAACCAGGAGATCAGGATATGATTCCGGGTCAGGGCACATGCGGGGTTGCGGGCTCCATCCCTAGTGTGGGGCACGGTGCAGAAGGCAGCTGATCAGTGATTCTCTCTCCTCATTGATGTTTCTCTCTCCCCCCGTCTCCCTTCCTCTCTGAAATCAATAGAAAAATATTTTTTAAAAATGACTCCAGAAGAGTCTTTTACCTCCCCCTGACCTGCCTAAAGGAATTCAGAGACAGAAAAACCTGCTTACAGAAAGGAAACTGTCACCTTAGGGTCCTAAGAGCTAAGAATGGCAAGTCTGTTAGGCTCCCCTCTGCCTCCCATTGTTTCTGGGTGGCCAGGCAAGAATTTGTTTACCAAATGTTTGCTCTTTCTCATCTACCTGTGAATTGCCTACTTTCCATTTGAAGTCCCAGACTCCTGCCTCCCTCTGGCCTGGTGGGCTTGTGGTCTGGGGCATGTGGGCCTTAACTGCCTGATTTATCCTCAGGTCCCATATTCTCACAGACCCGAAGACTATTTCCTCCTAATAATCTCACTCAATTTATTAAACAAGTCAGAAATTAGAAGTGTAAAAGTTATTTTCCCTCCCCACACTCATTAGGTACAAATCATCTGCCAGTGGTTCTCAACCTTCCTAATGCCGCGACCCTTTAATACAGTTCCTCATGTTGTGGTGACCCCCAATTTCATTGTTACAAATTGAACATAAGTAAAGCATAGTGATTCATCATAAAAACAATATGTAATTATATATGTGTTTTCCGATGGTCTTAGGTGACCCCTGTGAAAGGGTCGCGACCCACAGGTTGAGAACCGCTGAAGCAGTCATTTTCGCTTAAAAAAAAAAAAAAGCTAGTTTTCTTGTAAAATCATCTCTAAGACTTGTGGTCAGTCTACAAAATGGAAAATTATCTCCTGTCACTAAAACAGTGGGAACATTTTTGAAATGCTGCTAGCTAAAGAGAACATCTGGTCATATAGCTATTTCTCTTCAAGAGGGACCCCATCAGCTCTGGTCACTACTATTAAATAGGCCTACCAAAATCTTGTCAACAAAAAACATCCAAACCTGTAAAGAACTTTAGTTTATTTGAGCCAAACTGAGGACATACACCAGGAAGCAAGTCCTCAAATGCTCTGGAATGGCAGTTTTGCAGCTTATTTTATACGTTAAAATCAAAGACGTAAAGAAGGTGCATGAAACCCACGGGTGGTAGACTAAGGAGCAAGCATAGCAGGGAAATATCTAGTATTGGGTAAAAGGCAAAGTGGGGAGACACACACTTGTTTACATGGGTGGGCACAGGATAGTTAATATCTAAGATTTATAGCACCTAGACACAGTATGCAAGGAACGTGTTTCATGCTCTGGTCCTGTGTCTGGGGACTGTGACTGCACCTCCCAGAGGTAGGAAAAGAAAATTACTCTGACATTTCAAAAGTATGTTATCCGCCCTGGCCAGTGTGGCTCAGTGAGTGGGGCAACCGCCCATGCACCAAAAAGCTGCTGGTTCGATTCCCGGTTAGCGCACATGCTCTGGTTGCTGACTCAATCCCTGGTAAGGGGTGTACGGGAGGCAGCCCATTGATGGGATGTTTTTCTCCCTCTCCCTTCCTGTCTCTAAAAATCAATTAAATTAAAAACAAACAAACAAAACAAAGGTATGTTATCTTAAATAGACAGAGCCCTGGCTGGGTGGGTCAGTTGGTTGGAGCATCATCCCGTACACCAAATGCTGCAGGTTCAATTCCAGGTCAGGACATGTACCTAGGTTGGGGGTTCAGTCCCCAAATGGGATGCATGTGTGTGTGTGAGCAATCAATATTTCTGTCTCTCCCTTCTTTTCTCTAGAAGTTGATGGAAACATGTCCTCTGGTAAAAATTAAAATATTAAAAAGACAAAGCTCACGTTTAGATTGACCTTTGCTAAGGAAGATATAGGCCTAAGATGTGACTACCAGCCATGACCTTCCCAGTTTGGAATTTGTGATCAGACCATCCTGTGTGGCAACTTTACACACACACACACACACACACACACACACACACACGCACACACACACGCACACACACACACGTATATATGTATATTTTAAAAATTGACTAGAGAGAGGGAGAGGGATAGAACGAACATCAATGATGAGAGAGAATCATTGATCAGCTGCCTCCTGCACAACCCCCACTGGGGATCGAGCCTGCAACCCGGGCATGTGCCCTGCTTGAGAATCGAACTATGACCTCCTGGTTCCTAGGTCTATGCTCAACCACTGAGCCACGCTGGCTGGGCCTGTGTGGTAACTTTTGGCCACTGAGCTGGTCACGTCTGCCAGGTGCCTTCCAAGCGCATCAGGTTTATTGCATCACCACTTTTTCATTCACAATCTGATGACCTCAAGGGGCTCCTCTATGAAAATATTGGCATCTAGCAAACTGAGACAGTCTTGCACTTTTCATTTTTCTGAATGGAAAAAGGCTTATGCTGAGGCTACATACAATGTCAGGCCTGCAGGATTCTAATGGGTCTATAGTTCAGGCCAGAACTAGAATCCAGACACCAACCGCTATTTATCGTTTATCTCTTTATTGTTTCTCCTTTTATCAAAACCTGTCACAGCTGAGGGCCAAGAGGAAGTAAAAAAAATTGTCACAAATATGTCCCCTCATCCCCAGTTAGTCCTCCCTCACCCCCCACCCCCCACCCCGGGCTTCGGGCCCACCCCGGGCACACATGATCATCTCCCGCCCCCCTCAGCCTTCTCCCAGCAATAAATACAGGTGACTGTGATTCAATGAAACCACAACTGATTTCTCCATCTTGAATGCCCCTCAAGGGGACAAAAAGGGGACAAAATAAGTGTAATGCCCACTCCCACTTAAGAAGTGGAAACTTCTTTCCCCTTAGGACAGGGGGGGCAGAACTGCCCCTGTCAGAGCTGCAGCAGCTCTAGAAGGAATGGGAAAGAGGAAAGGTTGGAAGCAGAGGGAAGAGAGGGAAGAGGAAGTTCTCCAGCAACCTCACTCCTTTGATCCATTCACCCCTTATCAGGTAAGGGGTGGTCCCAGTGTGTCGTGGGACACAAAAATGGGAGGGCTGACAGAGAAGAGGCAGGAGGAAGAAATACAGAGGAAAGCAGCCTAGTAGGGAGGGACGGGGTCGGAGAAAAGGAGCCCTAAAGGTCACTGCCCTCGACTTCTTCCAGGGAATGGCATCCACACCCCCGAGAGGCATGAGTGGAGAGGGTCTGGCGGGTTCAGACGCCCAGAAGGAAGGAGAGAAGGGAAAGCAAGGGCCCTGTGGTCCCCAGGTCTTCACAGGTGAATGTGCTCCAGACAGAGCAACAGAGTGAAGGGAGGCTCGGGGGGGGGGGGGGGGGGGGGACCGGGAGCGGGGAGCAGGAAATCCCAAGAGGAACTCCCAGCCCAAAGACAGCCCTCATCCTGCCCAGGGGGTGGGAGAATCCGGGGCTGGGGATAAAAACAGGGACGTCTGGGGAAGGGCAAAGTCCAAGGCAGAAGGAACAGTAACTCACATTACAACGGCACCCCTCCCCCCCAAAATCCCTTGGGTTATCGCAGGGGAAAACTCCCGTCAGAAGCCCCGTTGACCCCCGGGTTGGGCAGGAATCACACAAAAGTCTCAAGGTCGTGCTGGAAGG